AGTCACCTTTCTCGGCTCCGTTATTTCGGCAGAGGGCATTGGTATGGATCCCACTAAGGTGCAGGCGGTCACCGATTGGCCAGTTCCTGATTCTCGTGTGGCGCTTCAGCGTTTTCTTGGCTTTGCGAATTTCTATCGCCGTTTCATACGTAACTTTAGTCAAGTAGCTGCGCCCCTTACTGCTCTCACTTCTGTCAAGTCGCGTTTTAAATGGTCAGAGTCTGCTCAAAAGGCTTTCGATCATTTAAAGTCACTATTTACATCCGCCCCCATTCTTGTGACACCAGAGATTACTAAACAATTTGTGGTCGAGGTCGATGCTTCTGAGGTGGGCGTCGGAGCCATTCTTTCCCAGCGCGTTGCTGCGGACGGCAAGATTCACCCTTGTGCTTTCTTTTCACACCGTCTCTCGCCCGCGGAACGCAACTATGATGTCGGTAATCGGGAACTACTCGCCATCCGTTTGGCTTTGGGAGAGTGGCGACAGTGGTTAGAGGGGTCCACCGTTCCATTTGTTGTCTGGACTGACCATAGAAACCTAGAATACATCCGCTCCGCTAAGCGTCTAAACGCCCGACAGGCTCGCTGGGCTTTGTTTTTTGGTCGTTTCGATTTCACGATTTCCTACCGCCCAGGTTCTAAGAACATAAAACCCGACTCTCTCTCTCGCCTCTTCGATTCCACAGACGTCCCCTCGACTCCCGAGGTGATCGTTTCGCCAAGTCGAGTTATTGGTGCTGCTATCTGGGGAATCGAGAGACTAGTTAAGCACGCTCTGTCCCGCTCCGTCACTCCGCGTAACGTTCCTAAGAATCTTCTTTTTGTGCCTGTTACTACTCGTATGGCGGTACTTCAGTGGGCTCACTCCTCTAAATTGACTGTCCACCCCGGCGTTAGGGGCACACTCTCTACCGTTCGTCAACGATTTTGGTGGCCCACTCTCGAACGAGATGCTCGACGCTTCATTGCCTCGTGCACCGTTTGCGCACAGACTAAGTCTAGTAATTCTCCACCAGCTGGTCTCCTTAGACCTCTTCCTATTCCGTCTCGTCCGTGGTCTCATGTCGCTCTTGACTTTATTACTGGTCTTCCCTCGTCGGCCAATAATACCGTTATCCTGACCGTCGTGGATCGATTTTCTAAAGCCGCACACTTCATTCCTCTCGCTAAACTTCCCTCTGCCAAAGAAACAGCCCAGATAATGGTCACTCACGTGTTCAAGATTCACGGTCTCCCTTCAGACGTCGTTTCGGATAGGGGTCCTCAATTCACTTCACAGTTCTGGAGGGAGTTTTGTCGTTTAATCGGTGCGTCCGTCAGCCTCTCATCTGGTTTTCACCCCCAGACTAACGGTCAGGCTGAACGCACCAACCAGATCGTCGGTCGTCTTCTGCGTAGCTTAGCCTTTCGCAACCCCTCAACTTGGGCCGAGCAACTGCCCTGGGCCGAGTATGCCCATAATTCTCTGCCGACGTCCGCTACTGGCCTTTCTCCGTTCCACTGCTGCTTAGGGTATCAGCCTCCTCTGTTCTCCTCTCAGGACGCTGATTCTAATTTGCCGTCTGTAAAGGCTTTCATCCAACGTTGTAAGCGCACCTGGAGAAGGGTTAGATCAGCCCTCTGTCGTTCGAGGGTTCGCACTCAAAGAGCCGCAAACAAGCGTCGTGTCAGGAGCCCTAGATATATTTGTGGCCAGAGAGTGTGGCTTTCCACCCTCAATTTGCCTCTCCAGGCCACTTCCCGCAAGCTGGCTCCTCGTTTCATCGGACCTTATCAAATTTCTAAGGTCATCAGTCCTGTCGCCGTCAGATTGAAACTTCCTCCTAATCTTCGTCGTGTTCACCCCGTTTTTCATGTCTCTTGCATCAAACCAGTCGTGCGCGCCCCTCCTCGCACCCCCCCTCCTCTCCCGCTTCGTGTCGAGGGAGCCCCTATTTACACCGTTCGCAAGCTCCTTGATATGCGTCGTCGGGGTAGTGGACACCAATTCCTAGTGGACTGGGAGGGGTATGGCCCTGAGGAGAGAAGCTGGATTCCTTCCCGGGACGTCCTGGACCGCTCGCTCATTGATGATTTCCTCCGTGCCCGCCAGGCCCCTCCCTTGGGAGCGCCAGGGGGCGCTCGTTGAGGGGGGGGTACTGTCATGAGTCTGGTAGCCTCCTGTCTCCCTCTTCTGGTCACACACACCCATTACCTCACGCACCTTCAGTACTCTCAGCTGTTTCTAGTTATACCCTCATTACACTCACTCCTTCACACCTGTTCTCTCTTCTCCCTGATTGTTTGTGCTATTTCCTGCTCTCCCTTTTCCCTGTTTCTTTGCCAGATTATTACATTCTCTACACATGCAAGAGACAACTTTCTACCTGCTGTATCCATCCTGTCCGAGTCCTGTCCGAGTCCTGTCCGTGTTCTATCCGCCATCCAGCCTGGCTCAGGTCGGTCTTTATTTGTTCTCTATTAATCTCTGCTCTACACTCTGTCCAGCCCGCCTGCTGCAGACGATCGCCCAGAGCATTCATCTCTACTATCTGTAGTACGCTCATTCTCTCAAGGGGATCAGAGAACAGCGCCCGCCGGTTCCTGTTCTCAGACTGTTTGCTGCTGTCTACTTTAAGGAGAGACTTTATTATTTTCGTTATTGGAGCGCCAGCATCTACGGCTACCTTTCTGTTGTTTATCTTGAAGGATTTTTCTGTTGGACTGAATTTATCTCTCGCTATTAAAGAGACTGTTATCTGCAAATCGCTTTTGGGTCTTACCTTTCCACATTACATAAATGATGACTAACTTTATGGCTGTAATCACACCATTCAGTGTTTTTTCTACATAGAGCCATTAACAAAATATGCATTAAAAAATATGTATAATGCGGTTGCCACATCAATCGATTGGCGAAACATATAATTTTCCCAAAGTAAATCACAATTAAGCTCAATCCATCATCCATGGACAGAAGCTGGTTATGCCACTAGAGGGCAGATTAGAATCAGAGCAGTATTTTATTTTATTTTTAACCTGCACCGCTTCGTTAATTTTCTCTGTCCTTTTTAATATCTCCTGTGAGAATTCCTTTATATTTTACTTCACATACTATAGATACTGCTGTCTGAGCCGGTTTCCATAGGACTACATTCAGCGCCGCCGCTCCCACCACGCGCATCACGCGCTGTGCGTAGGGCACCAAGTGCTGAGGGGGCACCAAAAATAGCCTAATGAAAAACCAATCATCAAACTTCTTGTTATAATCAGATTCAGCGCGTTCTTCCTCTTCATTCCGCAGCGGCGCCGAGCAGAGACAGAGAGCACGTCAGAAACACAGGACAGGGTGTGTGTGTGTGTGTGTGTCATGTGTGTGTTCATCTGAGCCTCATTGGTCTGTCACTGCTCGTCAATGTCAGAATATTTGAGATGACCAATCAAATCAAAGTAGGCGGGCTTTATGTTCACAGACGCTGAGCGCGAATTTTAACAGTGCAACTCGACGCTTCAGTGTACGGTCAAGTGCGAGATAAGATGTAAGTAGCTAAACTTAACTTTATTTGACAGTTTTTTTTAGGTCATAAATGTTAAACGAATGACAAAAAATAATTAGGCAAACTAATATAGTTTTGTCTAATTTCGCTATTTTGAACTGAAAATAGGCCTATGTAACATGTAGCCTAGTGTAATAGTTTAGGCTATTGTCATTGTGAGGGGACAAGAAACATGAACAAAGCCGTTTTCATCATGTTAGCCACAGGATTAATAATGAATGTGTACATATTGAGAATAAAATACAAATTGTAACCTTTAGAAAATTAAAAAAAAGCCAACTTTAGGAGGGGAAGAGACAGGGCAAGATAAAAACAAAGAGAAAAAGAGTGTGATGCTGATGAGGAGAGAAAAATAATCAGCTGCCCACTGACATGGTTTTAAAGCTGTTGTTATCGATATTTTTTTTTTTTTGCCTTCACAACATCTTAAAATGCACATCTGTAGTTCAGAAAAATCCAAAATTTCCCCCGAACACCCCTAACTAACCTGCCTCAAATTCGGAACCCCAGTGATTATAAAACCATGCCATTGCATGGTAATGAAACTAGTTAATAGTAAGCATTAGACCCTAAAGTTAAACTAAAGTGTTACTTTTTAATGTTTGCATTTTTTTTATAAATCATACCCTCATTGGGGGCTTAGCCCCCCTAAATGAAAATCCTAAATTAAAATGTTTTTTTTTTTTTTTAGGGGGGGCGGGGGGGCATCATAAAGGAATTATGCTTAGGGCACCAAAATGGCTAGCAGCGGCACTGACTACATTTAATTATAGGCCTTCATGAAAAAGAATTCGCAAACATTCATTTGAGGCATCTGATGACAACATGTAAACAACAATTTGGATATTTATACCCTTTTACATGGAGATGTGAAGTGAAAATTTTGTCATCATTTACTCAACTTCATATCATTTGAAAATTATGACTGTCTTTTTTCCGTTAAACCCCATTCACTTTCATTAATCTTTTTTCCATTTATTGAAAATTAATTGTGGGACTGTCGTTATGGCTAATATGACCTTTTGTGTTGCAGGAATAAAAAAAGAAAGTCAAATGGCTTTGGTACAACATGAGGATGAGCAAATTATTTTTTTATTTTTGGGTGAACTATCCTTATATACCCATAATCAAATCTGCAATCATGGTATATAATTTTTTGTTGCACTAAAACATTTCAATAATTTTCAACAAAACAAAATGAAGTGCATTTATTACTTTATTTCATTTTTGGCCTGCTTACACAACACAAATTCTAAATTCTGACCTCGTAAATATTTTGAGTAATTATTTTTTATCACATATGAGACGACTGAGATTTTACACACAGTTCAGTCACTTCTGGTAAATTAGATATTTGTTGAATGCTCTTGGCTTACAATATATCCAATCAGATATTCATGGTCAACACACAAGTATATTCATTCATGCAAATTAACAAAATCAACTAAGAGCAACCTACATTTATCACTCTTTGCATTTAACCTTTCTTTCTCTAGTAGTGTTCACCTTCTTTCGTTTGTACAGTTGTTTTATGGATTGCATGACCTCCTCTGTCTTTAGAGTGTATATGATGGGATTCAGCATAGGTGGCATTATCTGAGTTAAGGAATTGTTTATTATCCGAGCGTTTGGATGGATAAATGTTGTTAAAGCTGCAATATTAGTACCTATAAGTGGGACATAAAAAATTGCTACCAACATGAAATGTGAGGTGCAGGTTTTCATGGCTTTGATCCGTTCCGCACCATGAGCAATCTTAAGCAAAGCCAGAGCAATGCGGAAATATGAGATGATTATTAATATCAGTGGCATACATACCAGGAGACCAAAGCAAATATTTGCCATGATAATATTTATGGCATTATCATTACAAGCTAGTCTATAGATAGGGCCATGATCACAAAAATAACTATTGACTACAATTGAACTACAAATAGAGAGTCTTGTTATCAAACTCACCATTAAAGCAATACAAATCACAGAAAAAGTCCACATAACCCCTATGATCAGAAACATGTCTCTTTTGGTTATAATAGCATGATATCGTAGAGGAAAACAAATGGCAACCAGTCTGTCATAAGCCAAGACAAATAGTGTTAAAGACTGCAGATTCATGAAATGATACACAAAAAACATATATGCCAAACACGCTTCATATGAAATCTCCTGGTGCTCGAATAAAAATGTGTCAATGAGTTTTGGTATCAAAGCCGAGCTTCCACACAGATCAGAAAGGGCCAGATGAAAAACACTAATGTATTTGGCTGTGTGAAGTCTGCGGGCCAAATAAATGATACACATGATAAATGAATTCCCTAAAACAGTCACAGCATATACAAAACACAAGAACACATAGTAGTATTTTGCATGTGGAACATTAGAAAAGCCGTTGAGGAAAAATGTTGCAGGACGAACAAAGGTCTCATTTGCAGAAGAGTTTGACTGAATGGAGGTCAAGTTGCCTGTTGTCTGGAATGCTGTGTTACCTGTGATAAAGAACTGTTTTTAGATATGCACTCATCAACAAAACATCATAATAATGATTTCAGTGTATTTTACAGTATTGCTCAGCCCCACGATTCATGGAATAACCCTTCCCTTGTGAAAAAAAACTATACCAAAATGTATTTAAAATACATCATTTCATACTAAGTATACTACAAATCCATTAACAAATTTACTGGCATATCGCTTGAGACTTACTGATATAAATATTATAATTAAACTTTATTTGGAGAACTTCTTTATTGCACAATGCATAGTTTTCAATATCACTATAGTATGATCCCTGTATAATATCAGTCTTTAAATTGAAGATATTTAAAGTGTACCTAAAGTATACTTGCAATAGTTCCACTTTAGCACAATCAAATATACTTAAGTATGTCTTTAGTTGGACCTCAGCACAATTTCTGGATAACTGAAGTACATTAAGTACACAATTTGTTGTTCCAATTTAGCAGACTTTATGTATATTAATTTAGTATACCAAAAGCACAATTACAGGGTATTTAAATTAAGTGTAAATGTAGTATACTTGGCATAAAATACAAGTATTTCAAATACAGTTTAGTATATTTATTTTTCACTATGGTTGTCTTTATAGACCAGCCGTCTTAAACAGTTTTTATGAATAAATACAGCACAGTGCTAAACATTACAATACATATTAATAGAGGAACAATTGTTTAGATTTAGAAAATCAAACTGGCACAAGATTAAAGATGCTGCAGTTACAATTTATGCTTCAAGTAACACAAAACAAACACTGTTTCGCATTTAGTAATTCCATAACATTCTGTAATATACTACACTGTGTACTTTAATGATAGTTATTAAAAATGTACAGATGAGATGAATTCCAGACTATAACTGGAACACAGTTGGTATTCTAGATGAAAACATGATTCTATTTCTGATAAGCCTTTTCACAGATTCCATAAACTCCTTTGTCATAAATGTGTGGATTATAGGGTTAAGCATTGGAGGAAGTGCAGAGGTCAGAGAAAGAATAATTATTGTAGTGTTGATGCTTACAAGGACCTGAAAGACATATTTTAGGCAGATGGACACATAAAATACAGCCCCTAATATTAAATGAGCCGTACATGTCTTTGTGGTTGTGATTCTGAACAATATCACAGGCACAGCTATGCATGCATATGAAAAGATAATACAAAATACTGGAAACATGATGATCACCTGAAACAGAACACTAATGATGACACAGCTTGGGAAAACAGACCCGTGATCACAGAAAATAAGGATTATGATGCTAGTTCTGCAGAAAGAAAGTCTAGTCATGAAAACTGCTGCAGTTATTGTTTGCATCAGTGCCGATGTCCATAAAGCACCAATCATAACAAGCATTGATCTATGGTTCACAATCATAATAAAATACCTGGTAAACAAATAGCTAATCTGTCAAAAGACAGAACAGTGAGAGTTAGTGACTGCAACGAAACAAATAACATGGACATGCACAATCCATACGAGATCAACTGATTCCCAAACAAAACTGCATCCAGAAGCTGAGGGATCACGGTATTCTCACAAATGTCTGTCAGTGATAAATTAAAAACAGCGATATATTTAGGATTGTGAAGATTTCTGTCCTTAATGATAACAAACATGAGGCAGGAGTTTCCTAGAAAATAAATAAAGTAGGCAATAAACAGGAATATATAATAATATCTCATGTGAGGTATACCAGAGAATCCAGCAGAGAGGAAGGAAATATTCCTGTTTCCAGTGATCTCTTGAATCATGTTCAAATGCTTTTTTTCATCCTGTCTGGGTAGAAAAGCAATTTTACAATTTATATAATAATAAAAAAAAAAATTATAAATAATGAATATTATATTATCACAGTTAGGCCTTAGTGAGGTTTGCTCAGGCTGCAGACTTTCCCAGATTTATTATATATACTGAATAAAGAAGTGTCAGTCTCTTCAGCCTATCACTGACTCTGACAGTGTCCAGCAATACCACACCTCTAGAGCTGTCATCTAGCCAATCAAAGCATAGCACTGACAGTGATGATAAGGAAAGTTAATGTATCCTTATTTCTCCTGAATGTATTACCATTATTTCTTGGCCAATATCTTGAGCTATAAATGTAAACAATCGCGTATAACTGGCCTATAAAATAATATTAGCTTAACAACCAATGAATATGTAGATATTGTGTGGCTTCAGACATCTTGGAATTGGAACTCCTGGAGTCATTTGGACTTCTTTTCAATTATCATTTTATAGTTCCCTTTCAGTCGTTCACGTTCGACATAGTCGACGTGTCGACTGATTGGGATCACGCTTAGAGAGCCTGTTATCTTCGAGTACTATTAAAACGAGCCAATGGAATTGAGCAGCCAATGCACAGCCAATGCACATGTCTTGCGCACGGAGATCGCAGTCCTACCAATCACACCGGCGTGCCTCCAGACCTTCAGCCAGTGGTCAGACCCCTCGTTCCTGCAGGCAGGAGTGCCCTTGGAACAGGTGTCCAGGCATGCTGTGGTATTTACAGATGCCTCTGCTACCGGCTGGGGTCCCACGTACAACGGGCATGCCGAGTCAGGGGTTTGGACGGGCCCCCAGCTGCACTGGCACATCAACTGCCTCGAGTTGCTAGCAGTACGTCTCACTCTGAGCCGCTTGAAAAGGCCGCTACAGGGCAGGGACGTGCTGGTCCATACGGACAACACTGTGACCGTTGCGTACATCAACCAAAAAGGTGGTCTATGCTCCCATCGCATGTCGCAACTCGCCCGCCATCTCCTCTTCTGGAGTCAGAAGCATCTGAGGTCGCTTCGAGCCATGTATGTCCCCGGTGTGTTCAACTGTGTGGCCGACGAGCTATCACGAGCTGTGCTCCCGGGAGAATGGCGACTCCACCCCCAGGTGGTTTAGCTGATCTGGAGAGAGTTCGGGGAGGCTCAGGTAGACCTGTTTGCCTCCTGAGAGACCTCCTACTGCCAGCTGTTTTACTCCCTGACTGAGGGAACACTCGGCACGGATGTACTGGCACACAGCCGGCCCCGGGGGCCTCTGCAAATATGCGTTTCCCCCAGTGAGCCTACTTGCGCAGACACTGTGCAAAGTCAGGGAGGATGAGGAGCAGGTCCTTCTGGTGGCTCCCTATTGGCCCACCCGGACTTTGGTTCCCAGAACTCATGCTTCTCGTGACAGTCCCTCCCTGGCCCATTCCTCTGAGGAAGGATCTTCTGACTCAGAGACGGGGCACCCTATGGCACCCGTGTCCGGACCTCTGGAAACTCCATGTCTGGTCCCTGGACGGGACGCGGAGGTTCTAGGTGACTTACCCCCAGAGGTACTTAACACCATCACTTCTGCACGGGCGCCGTCCACGAGACGTATGTACGCCCTGAAGTGGAACCTGTTCATCGAGTGGTGTTCTTCTCGCCGAGAAGACCCCCGAAGATGTTCGATAGGGTCTGTGCTCCTTCTTGCAGCAAGGGTTGGAGCAAAGGCTGTCTCCCTCCACCCTCAAAGTACATGCTGCAGCTATTTTAGCATATCATGACCAGATGGCAATACAGTAAGAAAGCACAACCTGGTCGTCAGGTTTCTTAGGGGGGTGAGACGTTTAAATCCTCCTCGACCCCCCTCCATACCCTCTTGGGACCTTTCCCTGGTGCTTTGAGCACTTCAGGATGCTCCCTTTGAGCCTTTGCAATTAGCAGACTTAAAGCTTCTATCCATGAAGACTTTGCTGCTGGTTGCACTGGCCTCTGTCAAGAGGGTAGGGGACCTGCAGGTATTTTCGGTCGACGAACTGTGCCTAGAGTTCGGGCCGGGTGACAACCACGTAGTACTGAGACCCCTTCCTGGCTAAGTGCCCAAGATTCCTACCACTCCCTTCAAAGACCAGGAAGTGAACCTGCAAGCGCTGCCCCTGGAGGAGGCAGACCAAGCCCTGTCTTTGCTCTGTCCCGTTCGCGCTCTGTGCATGTACATGGACAGAACTCAAAGCGTCAGGACCTCAGACCAGCTCTTTGTCTGTTACAGCGGCCAGCAGAAGGGAAAGGCTGTCTCCAAGCAGAGGATGGCCCACTGGATAGTGGATGCCATCGCCTTGGCTTGGCATCACCAAGCACAAGGCGTGCCCTGCCCGCTCAGGTTGCTCAGATCGAATTAATGCTAGATGTTTTGATATAAATTACAGACATGGCATCTGAGGACTATTTCTAATTTTTAATTTAGCTTTATTTCCAGATTCAATCATAGGCTCGTTCTTACATACTAGAGCACGATCGCACATGCACATGTAACCCTTCACTCAATTTGATAGAGACACAAGTTTGAGTATGGACCAGTTCAATCAGAAGACTAAAATTCGCCTGCAGAGAATAAGGATGTCACAACAATAATGAGCCACTCACACAAGGTATAAGGTTTAACTGAATGTATTTTTTTTGGTTGTTGAATGCAAAACTTGAATTCAGTAAATGGAATGTATAAGAGGAAAAAAATTAAATGAGAGAAAATACAGGAAAGAAAAATAAAATACAATGTAATGTAATAAAACAAATTCTGTAAACACCTCTTTTTCTTATAGATTTCAAGGACTTCAAATACTCTAAAGATCTCGAAAGGTAAGTATAAGCACTTGTCTTTTAAACACTGTTTATGTTAATTTATACATTAACCTCTTGTTTGTTCCCTTCTAGGTTTCACTAGATTTAATTCAGTTTCTTTAAAAAAAAAATATATATATATAATTTGTCACCACTAGTAACACTGAATTCACCTTATGACTTAATTTTCAATTAAAGTTAATTCCTTATTTGATACCTTTTAAAAGTTTTTGTTAACTAGGTTTCTTCTTCTGGCTCCTAATTTTAAAAATAAAAAGAAAGAAAGGAAACAATAAAATAAAAAGAAGACAATTACATTTGATCAAGTGACACAGAAAAAAAAAAATATATATATATAGAGATATAAATATAGCTGCGAGCAGCGATTACGGGCCCAAGCCGGTGGCACCGCCACCCTGGTGCCTTTAGGGGTGTTTACGAATCTGCATAATTACGAATCTGCATTTTAGCCCCGCCTCACTCACTCACACCAGCTCAGAGATCCACTCGTTGACAATCACATGTTGACCTGGGGTGCCTTTCCCAAAGCCAACTATGGTCGCAAGTTCCGTCGTTACCAATAGAGT